TTTCAAAAATCCAATAGATTTCGTTCCACTTCACAATTGTGTCCCACTTGTTGGTGATTCTTCACATAAAATTAAAAATTTATATCTTTATGTTTGAAGCCTGAAATGTGGCAAAAGGTCGAAAAGTTCAAGGGGGCCGAATACTTTCGCAAGGCACTGTATGTATAAAAAGAGCTGTGATTCCTATATGGTTCACCCAATATAGATGTAAATACCCTTGAATTAAAGCTGACATTCTACACTTTAACCTCAGAGTCAGTTTCATTTCAAATCCAATGTGCTGGAGTACAGAGTCAAAACAGCACAAATTGTGCCACTGTCCAAATACTAACAGACTGCACTGCACATGAGAAGCACTGAGCTTTCTTTTGCTCAACATTATTGTTCTCTTCCTAACTTTTAATGGCTTCCAGGAAAGTGTAGCATTTTAAGCAAATGTTTAAATTAATACAATGTACCAATTTAACTCTCCACTTGGAATACTATATAATATTGTAATCACTTTCCTAGAAAGAAGGCACATGACAAAGTATATTTCTGTTCTAAAGCAAAACAGGAAGATAAGAGAAAGTATACTTAAAACACAGACTGTTTTACATTCTGGTTCTGTGGGTGCCCTTCTGTATGTTAAGCAGTTTTGGATTCTTCACATAAAAACTACTATACAAATGCAAACAACTAATAATTATCTTTGATATGAAGAGCACACACCTCCACATGTTGTAGAATGGGTATTTGACTAAAAAGCAAAGCTATACAGTTAATTCCTATTGGGGGGAAAAAACAGAACACTTTTCTTGAAGAGAAATTAGATGGGGAGAGAAATTAAGGTAAATTCTTGTCATGGTTTTCTAAGCAGGAACCTGTGCTTAGACTAATTTTTGTCATGAAACGTGTCATGAAAATAGAGCATGAAACAAACTATACAGCAATGTGGTTCACGCTTTTCCCCTCCCATTAAAACAACTGCTGGATGAGACCCTTGGATTAAAGGGTTAGTAACTACTAAACAAGCCACATGGGCCAAATGACCTCCTCTCGTTCATTACTTTTCTAATGTTCTTACTGTATGTACTAACTGAGATGTTGTTTTTCGAGAGGCAGTGCAAATAGCAGTGCTATCAGAATAATATCTGGTCTAAAACATCACAGTAATGGAAACATGGCAGCCTGGAACATCTTCAAAACTGAAAAAAATCTGAGAACAAATGTAGAAATTGGTTTCAGAAGAAGAGTATTCAGAAGAAAAAACAGGAAATGCTTCCTTGCACAGAGTCGTAGGGGTCTGGAGCATACTCCAGGGCCAAGCTATTGAAGCTAACATCTTGTAGGGGGATGTTCAGAGAACTATTCAGGGATCATCAGGTTAATAGAAAACAAGCAAGAGGGTCTGAATGGCATCCTGTGGTTTATAACTCTGTTCTTGTATAACTCTAGGAATGGTGAAAGAAGGAAAAGACTGCTCAAAAAGAAAGTCAAGAAAGTCAAGTTTTCAATGCAACAAAGCGACACTGCAGGAACCTTTTTGATCCCCAGCATAGACGTACACCTTCATATCTTTTTAAAAACAACCTGATGTCCCACTCAGCACAGAGCATTAATGTCATCTGAGAATCTGAATGAACAGAACTTACCATCGAGAGGCAGCTCCTCTGCTCTCGGATGACAGCACAACAGCCCAGGAAGCCAGTGATCATAACCAGACCACCTGCAAAGATGAGGATGTAGGCCGAAACTGCAAATGTACTGGAAGCCAGGAGGCTGAGATAATCACTCTTGTCAATCAGAGTCCATATACCCACAGCCATTACTGCAGCTCCTCCAACCTGGAACAGACAGATAGGCAGAGAAGGTTCAGCAATCCAGAATTATTTAAAAATTCATGTCTGTGGGGAAAAAAAAAACTCTTGGATGCAGGAAATACAAAGTGTTATTTACTCTGATATTAATGATTGACATTACTTGTTTCATAAACATGATCTAGAATTACGTAAAGTATCTACAGTGTTTGTAAAAGTAGATGGTATGGTAAGTTATGATGGTAAATTTAAAATTAAAGCACATTTTGTATAAATAAGAAGGAAATGCAATACAGTTATTGAGGCTTTTTACATCTTTTTAGGTTTTAGTATCTTATTTCTTTTAACACAGGAGTTCAGACTTAAAACAAACAGAAAACTAGTTTGTCAAACTGCTTGTTGTACATATGTCTCAGTACTCATCATTAGTCTATCAAAATCCACTAACCTAGGCAGGGAGTTATTATTCCCAATTAACTTCACTTCCTTTTTGTCCCCACATCACCACTGTAGAAAAAATTTTAAAAATCTAGCATTTACTATAATTATAACTTCTAAATATCATATAATTTACCATTTCAGCTGCCTCCCATCACAACAGCTGTTGTTCAATTCAACCTTCCTTGAGTGACAATTGTAATTGCAAATTTACAAATTAATAGAGTGTTTGGGGTTTCTGGAGTAGGTAGCTGTCTGGCAGTTTGCAGAGAGATATTCAGGAAACAGGTTTAGTTAGATTTTAAAGAGAGGCTTCTGTTTAATTTTGCTGGTTATCAAAAATTCTAACCAGTAGCTGAGTTTTTTGTATGTTACATGACACTTGCCTATTTAAATATCCTGTTACAGTAAAACCAGAATATGGAACTACACAACTTTTTTTTGAGAAAATCAATGTCATAAGAGTGTTAATGAATAAATACTACGTTACACTTAAGATGTTTGCTTTAATTACAACTTACAGATGCAGCCATTCAAAGTGCGAGGTACAGACACGTACCGCAGGTAATTGGCTGCGGTATCGCGTATCATGACGCAATATGACGCGGTGCGTGATTGGTTGACCGACAGGGGCACTCGTGGTCCGTTGGTCTGTCGTAGAAAGACTTACTGTAAACGTCTTTACTGTGCCCGTTGTAGATATTGAATTTTACCACTGAAGGGAAATCTTAG